GTGTATGATAATGCTAGGAAGTGTAAGGTAATGCTAGGAAGTGTATAATAATGCTAGGAAGTTTATGACAATGCTAGAAGTGTATGATAATGCTAGTAAGTGAATGATAATGCTATGAAGAGTAAGATAATGCTTTAAAGTGTGTGATAATGCTAGGAAGTGTACGATAATGCTAGGAAGTACAAGATAATACTAAGAAGTGTAAGATAATACTAGGAAGCGTAAGATAATCCTAAGAAGTTTAAGAAAATGTCTGGAATTGTATGATAGGGCTAGTAAGTGTGTGATAATGCTAGGAAGTATAAGAAAATGGTAAGAAATTTATGATAATACTAGAAAGTTTATGATAATGTATGATAAGTACTGTTGGTAATATTATTTTTACATACTTTTGCTAATGAAATACGCTTTGACTTTTAATGTTTACTTCTGTTGAGTATCATATTTATTTCAAAACAGATAATAAATATATTTGTATTGTATGTTAACTGCATAGTCAGGCAGTGCATCTATTTAGTAGTATTATCAACGTTAATAAAATATTCAACAATTTTAGTTTACTTTTGCTGTCAAGTAATTAGCATGGGAAGTATAGAAAAGAATGTGATAATAATGAATTACAGACGGGGGAGNGGGGGGGCTTAAATGGCATTTGGGATGTGTTTTGAGTGTGGGGGGATAAGACCGTCTTATCCAATTCTTATTTAAGAAGAATTAGTGGTATCGTTTTATAATGTTGTAACGGCTGTAACAAGATGGATTCAGGCATGAAAATGCCATTGTTCAAAAAGTACATTTAAAGGTGCGCATCGTTCCCAATGAATTCCTTTAAGTCTATCAATTACTCCAATAATATGAAATAATGTTTACTTCTGTATAGAATGCAGAAAATGCATAGTTCTAATCTGAGTAGTGAAGTTACTGTGTGTCTGTCAAAGTATTGTGTGCGTGTGTGTGAGAGAGATTAAATTTTGTTATTTCCCTCAAGTCCGGACTGAGAGCTGAAACTCCAACAAGAAAGTCGTTTTCTCTGGCGTTTTAGTATTTGAGTGCTCGGCTGGGCTGAAATATTGTAGGAGGGAGGGAGGGAGGGGGAGCAGGAATTCACGGGGTTCAGAGCATTATCGCGGGTCTATGTATCGACCGAGCTCTACACTCACAACAGAGTCCAACTAAATCCACCTGGCCAAACTACTCGATGAAAATTCGATATTTTCTTTAAAACAGTCGATATCTCATAAAGTACTGAACACAATTTTATACCGTAAACATAGTTCGACTTTTCATTCAATTTTAGGCCAAACTTTCATACTTTGAATGCACTTTCTTAGTCTTAAACGTTAAAAATTGACATTATACCAAGCCAAGTAAATCTGCCGTTAATCTACTCGATGTAAAAGGGGAGATCATTTAAAAATTTTCATTTTCACGAAAAAGTGATTCGGGTCCAAAAATATCTCAAAATTAATGATTTTAAAATTTTATTTTTATAAGACATGGTTGAGAAAAATGTGTTAAGGTTTGGAAGTTGTCTGGACTCTGTATTTCTGTTGTAGAGTTTGTGTGGAGCCGGCGGCCCTGTATTTTCCAAGATGGCCGAGGTGGGCTGTCAGCCTGCCACTCTATACAGAATTGAACAGGGACTGGGAGAGGGCTCGGGACCCCTAGCTAGAACAGCGACCGACCCTGTATTTCAGGGCCTCTACGACCCCCTTGAGACCTCCCGAGGTCCCTGAAATCCCCTTTTAACAATCCTTTTCTAGGCCGGCACTGAAGTTTCTTTAACTTGGAAAATCTGCCGAAGCTTCCAATTTCCTTGTATGCGGATAGAATCCCCCCCTCCCCCCAGAGCTTGGGAAAGGGGGAGGGGAAGTTTGGGNGGAAGTTAGGAAAGAATTGAGAATACTATTACGTCAAATGGTGCAATATCTTTAAAAGACCGGGGCCTAGTTACTTGTCAAACCCCTGACAGAAAACATTAAACCTTGAGAGAAAAAAATGCAATTTTTAGATTTCGTGAGAACTGCTTAGAACAAAGGGCATTGCACTGATTATTAAAAATGAAATAGATGTACTGCAAGTTAATTAAAATGCAGCAATGTAAATCATTTAGTCGAACTAACAAATAACAATCAACATTATTTTGTTTTATATTTACACATTTTGTTCATAATTATATTTGAGTTTCTAATCGAACCCAAGTTAAAATTCACTAAAATGCCGTGAAAGTATTTTTACAGGAAGCAACCCCCCCCCCCCTCCTCCTTTATCTTGTTCCCATGCATCCAAACATGCAATCCACCCTTTAACCTTAAAAACATTCAATACGGCTTCTTCGCCGGTTAAAACTGTTTTAATTTTATTCCAGGTAAAAAATGTGAGATTTATTGGGCATCAAATTCAGGGAGCTTGGGGTAAATAAATGGAGGAGAGGAATGATTCATGACGAAGATGAGGATTTTTGAATATTGATTTTATGCATTCTTATCTGTGTTTCATAGTTCTTTTTATTTTAACTTATAAATGTAGCGCTTAGCAACATTTTGACTTCCTGGATCCGGATTCAATGGGCAAAGTAATATAGATGAATGCATGAATGAGTTTAACAAGCCTTAAGTTAAATGCTTGAATGAATATCAAGCCTAGAAATGAATGCTTGAATGAGTAACAAGCCTAGAGATGAATGCTTGAATGAATATCAAGTATAGAGATGAATGCTTGAATGAATATCAAGCATAGAGATGAATGCTTGAATGAGTAACAAGCCTAGAGATGAATGCTTGTATGAATATCAAGCATAGAGATGAATGCTTGAATGACTATCAAGCATAGAGATGAATGCTTGAAAATGAATATCAAGCATAAAGATAAATGCTTGAATGAATATCAAGCATAAAGATGAATGCTTGAATGAGTAACAAGCCTAGAGATGAATGCTTGAATGAACATCAAGCATAGAGATGAGTGCTTGAATGAATATCAAGCATATAGAAGAATGCATTAATGAATATGAAGCCTAGAGATGAATGCTTGAATGAATCTCAAGCATATAGATAAATGCATTAATGAATATCAAGCCTAGAAATGAATGCTTGAATGAGTAACAAGCCTAGAGTGCTTGAGTGAATATCAATCATATAGATGAATGCATTAATGAATATCAAGCCTAGATATGAATGCTTGAATACTAACAAGCATATAGATGAATGCATTAATGAATATCAAACATAGAGATGAATGCTTGAATGAATAGTAAGTCCAGATATGAATGCTTGAATGAATATCAAGCCTAGAGATGAATGCTTAAATGAGTAACAAGCATATAGATGAATGCTTGAATGAATATATTAATTTATATTAAGACTATAAGCAACATGTTCCCAAGTAATTAGAGTGTAAGCATTGACTGTAATCAATGAATTATCTGGGGACTTCTACATCAATACAACTATATTTATTTACTACCAATTCACCATTAATGCTGAATAATCAACTTAACAATCTTATCATTCAACATCAAACAATTTGTTAAAAATATAAAATAAATAATCTTCTTATTCTCAGCATAGTTTTTTAAAATGTAATGATAAGTTTTTAAGCTTGTTTGTCTTGTTGGTCTAAACTAACCACCCCATAATCCCTCATAAATTCTGTATCTTTTCCCTCCGTAGAAGAAGAAATAAAATATAATTCCCCTCCCCCTTCTTAGATATAAGTATACCCATAAAATTACCCCCCCCCCCTCTCTTTAATCCATTTGAGATCATAACATTTCTTTTGATCCGAGTTTTGTTAAAAAACAAAGGTTTACTATTTGTAAAAGTCATAATTGAATTGGTATCCAAAAAATATTTTTTTCTTTTAAAATAACGCTTTTTTAGCCTTTTCTTGTTTTGAAGTATCGACATTCCAAAAAAAAGTACAATCTAACGACAGAATTTCTCCCCATTAAATGGGAAGAAAAGGGGCTAGGGGAGCAAAAAATAAGGAGTTCTAAACTTTAAATGTCCGTCTAATCTAAGGGAGAGGAAAGAAAAGAAAATAAATGTCAACAAAGAAACAATTTCTTTGTTGGTTTAATCTCAGATTTATTTTCAACTAATTTAACACAAGTTTGGTTGGGTTGGGCTGAAAACTGCAAACTAAATGCACCGAGTGCATTTTATCTCCATCCAAGTTAAAAACTGCATTGCAAAATATCACAGAAATATTTGGTCAATTATTTATTAACAAGGGGAACTACATGGTTGGTTAATTAGATTAAAACAAACGGTACTAGTTTAAAAATTTGGCAATTAATTTTCTGTTCGAATTGAACATTTTTTGCGTCCGACATAATTAGATTTCTATGAGGTGGATTATTAAACTCAGTTTTAGAGCTAGACATGAAGGCACCAGTGCGTTCATTGCTTTACTGTTTTCAAATAAACATCAAATTCATAATTTTCATTTTGATGAGAAAGCAAACACTTTAAAGGACTGAAGCGTAATTTGAATAGAAACTTCATGCTCTTGGCAATATCCGATTTACAACGGTACCCTTCAAACCTTAATCAGATTAAAAATGTGTCACTTTTGCAAAAAACCCGCACATGAAATAAAAATATTATCAAAAAAAACAGAAACATTGATATCTAATTCATACTTGATCAAACAAAGCTTTCAAGGGTACTGTTCTGAACCGGACAATGCCATCTTTGCATGGAGGGTCACTTGAAATTATGTTTATATTCCCTTTAAGTCACCAAGAACGAGTTAAAAAGTTAAACAAAAAAGTCCTTGCAAAAAATGAAAGGAAGAAGGTAACTTTCCCAAGTTAAAGGTTTTGAAATGGTTTCATTGATTTCCTTAATGGACGAAGAATTATCAGTTAGATGCATTCTGTCTGGGATAAAGTTAGAACTGTTAATCATCTTAAACCGGTCTTTCCCCCCCCCCCCCTCCCATATTGAAGATTAATTGATCTCTCAACATAATGTCTACAGAAGAAGATAACTCACCCCATCTGTTCCAGGATTCTGTCCCTAAAAATATGCAATTAATAAAAATGTTGGTGTCAAGGATCAACTAATATCTAATATTCTATTTACATCTATGTTACCAAAGTTGCCAGTTCTTAGTAATGGTGATTTTGATCAATTGCCAAAGAGAATAGAATATATTAGAGTGGAATTTAAACAATCCCTCGGTATGAATTTTGTCATTTTGTCAGTCCCTTTCAGCGTGAAAGGGAGTTCAAAGTGTACAATTCATGAAAAGGTTCACAAATTATACGCAGTACATCACACTAATACAGTATGATCCCTGGACATCCCTTCCAACTTCTTAAACATGTTTATTTGTTTTAGGTGACTTAAAATAATTTTATTAAACATAAAACTGTAAAAATCGTCGTTTGTAAAGTAATATGTTTTTTAACGAAATAATAACTTATTAGAGCACAAATATGTGAAGTACACCTGTAGTATGGCCGTTTTACACTTTTTTTGAGGAAATTCCTCTCTAACATATTCTGTTCTCTTTGTCTATTGCATTAATTTAGTTTTTGAGTTTTTAACAACTTGTTAAAATAGAATTAATATAATATCTACAAATGCAAAGCAGTAAAAGCCAAACAGTAAGAAAGCTTTTAAGGTTTATTGGTAAAAATTCTACAAACATAAGAGTAGCTTATAAGGAGAAATTGGAGAAGCTACATGAGGAACCTATGGGCAATGTGGAATAGGAATATGAAGATACGAGAAAAAAAGGAAGCAGATTGAAAAGGAGTAGGGGATATTGAGAAAGCAAGGGGGTGGGGTCGAAGATGAGAAGGAGAGGAAAAGCTGCAAAGATGAGAGGAGGTGGAAGGGGGAAGGATGAGAAGAGTAAAAAGTAGAAGAGTAATAGAGTAGAAAGAGGAGAAGATGAGGTGGACGGATAAGAAATAAAAGGGAGAGCAGGAGAAAGGAGGACGAGTAGGATGAAAGAAGGAGGAAGGATAAAAAAGTAAATGGGGAGAAGGATAAAAAGAATGAATAGAGGCTAATATTTAAGAATAGAAAGGAGGAGAGGAAGAAAAGAGGAAGAAGAAAAAGAAAAAGAGGGGAGAAGAAAAAAAGGAAAAGAGATGTAAGGTAGAATAGGAAAGATAAGAAGGAAGAGTTGAAAGAAGGGTAGGGGGAAAAAGAGGTAAGGTAGAATGGGAAAGATAAGAAGGAAGAGTTGAAAGGAGGGTAGGGGGAAAAAGAGGTAAGGTAGAATAGAAAGGATACGAAGAAGGAAAAGAGTTGGAAGGATAAGACAGGAAAAGAGTTGGAAGGAGGAGAAAGGAAAAGAGTTGAAAGGAGTAGAAAGGAAAAAAGTTGGCAGGAGGAGACAGTAAAGGAGTTGGAAGGAGGAGAAAGGAAAAGAGTTGGAAGGAGAAGAAAGGAAAAGAGTTGGAAGGAGGAGACAGTAAAGGAGTTGGAAGGAGGAGAAAGGAAAAGAGTTGGAAGGAGGAGAAAGGAAAAGAGTTGGAAGGAGGAGAAAGGAAAAGACTTGGATGGAGGAGAAAGGAAAAGAGTTGGAAGGAGGAGAAAGGAAAAGAGTTGGATGGAGGAGAAAGGAAAAGAGTTGGAAGGAGGAGAAAGGAAAAGAGTTGGAAGGAGGGACAGGAAAAGAGTTGAAAGGAGGAGAAAGGAAAAAAGGTGTTATAAGGAGGAATAGGCGAAAAAAAATTGGAAAAAGGAGAGGGAGAATTTTTTTTTCAGTAGAGATGGAATTGAGAGGAAGCGGGGATTTAACTCTACCTGTCTTCTACGCGGCTGAACAGGGGGTGTCCAAGTGGCAGCAGGGGGACCTTCATGTTTGCTTGGAGGGGGCGGGGGCCCCTCTCCATTGTCCCCCCCTGGATGCCCGTGCCCCTGCCCACCCTGTACAAACAAGACGTCACAAGCGGTTAAATAATTTAGAAGAGTCAGAAAAAAGAAAAATTGCGTGAATCCGTTTAGAGAAGAAAAGAGTTTAAAATTGGCTGTTTCTAACTGGAAAATAGTTTGCAAAACTTTTTCTGACTCTCCTTTTCCATGCGTTAAACTGAACCAAATTGACATTGAAAACTGGGTTGGAAGTAGAACAAAACTTTTCATCATTGGTTCAATTCAGAATTGCATAAAAGCGTATTAGTTATTTTAAACAAGGGTATTAGTAATCAAAAACGAGAGTATTTAAACATTAAATATTTGAAAATTTATCAAAATTGAAAGAAACGTTAGGATTTATTAATCAAAGTACAATTTATAATTATAAAATTAAGGGGGGGGGGGGTTACCCTGGTTTAATTAAAATAACAAAAGATTGTTAAATCAGCAAGCACTATGTGGTTGGTTAATTAGATTAAAACAAACGGTACTAATTACACGCAACTAACTAGTCTAAAAGGGTGTAGATTTTCTTGAAAACTCTCCCCCCCTCTCCAAAAAATATTTTAGTTTCAAAGTTGCTTGGTTGAATTTGGCTATTACAGAAAATTAAATCGCCTTTTTTGAATTAGTTTTCTTTTAAATTAGAAAAAAGAGGATATTCTATTGAAGTTGATTTGATCTTTTAGCTCAGAACCTCATAAATCTTAAATTATACATATCATGAAAGAGTTTAATGAAACACATTTTCTACATATCCAAACAGGTGGGGGGGGCTTACTATCTACATTTGCTCTAAACTATTCAAGAGTTTAATATTTCTACTGGATATACCTGTTGTGGGGGATATCCTCTATCTTGGGGTGGATATCCCTGGGGTTCTCCTGGGTATCCCCCTCGGTAAGGTGGATACCCCTGACCGGGCCCCCCGGCATATCCATAAGCTGGTCTGGGTGGTCCCTGACAAATAAAAATAGATTATTAAAACCCCAAATATCATATATTTAGTACATCAAAAGATAATAAAAAGGAAGTTTTATTAAGCTGATTGGAGTAAAATAGAATTTCAGAGTTTGATCAAAACTTTTCTTTCTTTTTCAATTATTATCGTATTGATGCAAAAATAACAGGACGCAGTTCCCAGTGAGAGAGAAGGAACAGGTGTTCCCTGGCTTATGTGCTCAGGAACATCTGTTCCATGTAATCATGCAATATATATTAGTCAAACATAAATAAACATTTATACAAGCACAATACAAACTTAATGCAGACAGGAGTGTCATTACAAGAGTCTGTCACCAAATCAAAGTTGCTACCATTTTATTGTTCAATGTAAGTCATGTATTCAGCACTGTACAGAACAAAACTTTAAAAACTTGTGTTCACATCTGAGTACTGAACTTATACAAAACATAGTACATATATATCATGCAATTTTACAACTAGCAGATCAGAAAAAAAACAAAGTTTTCCAAATTGTTCGCCCATGCTAACATAGGCCTGAAGTTTAATTGTACCCTATTTAAGGGCAAATTTAAAGATTTCCACGAGATTTTCTCCTTCAAATTAAATCCGTAATTTTAACATTTTGTAGCAAAATAAGTTTCATAAAATGTTTGAAGTTTAATACTTAGACAATCAAGAAATGTGCAAGTGTGAAAAGGCCATATTAATTTGGCACAAACTGAGTTGCAACTGTCTATTTTGATATAAATTCCAACTTTTAATCTGTAATTGCAATTAAATTTTTAGAAAGAAAATTCAGCTAAACCCAGTTAATGCAAGCTATCATTAAAGTTAAATTTTTTATGCCAATAAAAACATTATTTTTACGACCCTAAGGTCCCCCACCCTTCCCTAAATTTTTTATTTAAAAAAAAAAAATTCGGAAATACATTTGGAACAACAAACTTGAAAGAAATTTATAGATTTTCCCCATTTTATAGTTTGAATGGACGTATCTAGACTAGTGTATAAATATCTAAATACTTAAGCCTAGGAATTTGTAAACTATCTATTCAACAAGTATTATGTATTTTCAGGGTCAAGAGTGCAGTTACATCCCCAGGATAGATAGATAGAGATCTAGATAGATAGATAGATCCTGATGAATGAATCATGGGAAACCTAAATTGGATTGTTTGATTTAAATAAACTTTCAATGGTTTCAAATTCAATTAGAAAAGAATGATATAATTATAATGTATTACCGAGATGAATTCATGAAAACTAGAGAAAAAATGTCGCTAGTCTGATAAAAGGATAAGTTTCCTGAATGTGAACTAAAAATTGAAAGCTTGAATGCAGGAAAAGTTTTCAACATATTTACATGAGAGTTGTTATCCGAAGTTTACAACTGCAATTCTATTTGAAACAACTTTAATACAGGATATATTATAGAACATGTTCACTATACAGGGATGTACATTGTGCATAAAATAAACTGTTTTAATGGTCATCCGTGCCTATCAAGTATTCAGTTACATACAAAGTTGCTAGGGAGTTTAGAAAACATTAAATCTTTAAGACACCCCCCTCCCCCACACACACATTTCACCCATTAGAAAAGTTTAAATAACAGGTTTGGAAGATTTGTTGAGACGATTGAAATAAATGGAAAAACTAAAACCGTGATTATACTTTTAGTGACACATTTGTAGTGCGGTGTAGTGCAGTTAAGTACAAACTAAAAAGTAAATACTAATAATATTAATATAAACAAACAAAAACAAACAAACATGCAATATTACTAGGTGAGGGGAATATATATGCTCCAAGATTGTCCCGTGAATGTGGTGGTGTAAACTAGTGGACAAACACAAACAAACAAAACGCACATTTCTTCTTATTACTTTAAACCTAAAGATTCTCTTTTTTTCCCCAAAAAAACCATCATCAATAAAATTATATAATCCAGCCAATTATGTTGCGTGTAAAATTTATTTAGAGGAAAAGAATTAAGAAACTGGGTTTAAAGTTTTGAAAAAGAAGAAATGGTTTCACGAAAATCACCGGATTAGGTGAGGGGCTCGGACTAGGGCCCTTTGCAGCACGCCCCCTTCCCGACCCCTTAGGGCGCCCTCGCTTCCTGCCTGTGCCCCTGACAGGGGTAACAGGGGCACTCTCGATAGCCCCTGAATCCTGAAAGTCTCCAACGTCCATTGAGCCGAATTCTGGGTCGGTCTAAAAGGAATTAGGTTGGGAATGAAGTGTGCAACGCCACCGTAAATCTAATATTTCTAGAATCACTAATCCTATACTAGGTTCATTTAAACGAAATGGATTACAGCTTTGTATATATTTAAGCATACCCCCCCCCCCCCTCGTCGAGAATTGTTCAAGACTTTCTTTAAGTTTTGACGCTGTCTTTTACTTTTAATTGATATTTGATAAAGCAGAGCATAGAGTTAGAAGATGTTAGTAAATAACTAGAAAAAGTTGCATTAACTTTCAGAATAATCAAAATATATTTCTTATTAATAAAACAGATTTATGCAAGTAAAGCATAGTTATTGTTATAAATTCAATTATCGATGATCAAATTGTTTTCATTCATTTGTGTGGTCCAAGACAAAACATAAGACATAAAAAATGCATGATTTGTTAACTTTTGTATTACTATATGCATATTCTGTAGAAATATTATTATTCTATTAAAAAATTCAGTTCTCTCTAGATTGAAACCAAAATTGGAAAATTTTCAACCTAAATTTTTTTAAGGTCCGTCCGAGTATAAGGAAAATACTAATTTTTTAAATAATTTAGCCCTTGTGTAAAGTTCATCATTCAATAAACATGGTTTCTTTGAAGAAAAAAAATAGGACGTTTACCTGTCCCCTATATCCTGGATGTCCATAACCCCAATTCTGATATCCAGGAGCCCCCCCTGGTGGCCCTGGGCCCCTTGGAGGGGGACCACCTGCCGGGGACCCCCCTTCGTACCCTGGATACCGTCTATCCTGAAGAAGGGAGTTAAGGGTGGGGGTTGTAGCCGGGCCCCCTGGTCCATATGGACCCGGATATCCGGGCCCTCCTGGTCCCTTCACCGGATACCCTTGGGGTCCATGTCCGTATGGTCCATAGTTATTTGGTCCCCCTTGCGGATATCCTGAAACCCCATTAGAATCTGGAGACGGATATTGGGTTCCGTTTGAGTCCCCCATATCTCTACCAAGTTCTAGTTTCTCTCCTGAATATCCATTTGTCAACTTTTGATCTTGTGTTTGATTTCTAGCCGGCTCAACAGCGGCCATTTTCCAAACAGAGTCACCAATTTTAGTTTAAAACTTAAATAATCAACCATATCACTAAGTTTTCCAGTCCCAAACCACCATCATTATAAACTCTGTTTAATTTCACATTGTTAGAGTTTATAATTAAGTATGGAGGATGTATGTATTCGTGGAAAAGACTGGAATTAACAATTTTACTGGAGGAACTGCTTAGAGGCGGCAACGCACTTAGCTCTCCTGCCTCTCGGCTCTCCTCTAGCCAGAAACCGGTTAATATCTAGCTTCTGCAAACCAACCAAGCTCTTTTAATTAGCTCTATGTTTTAAATGTCGTCTTTTAATTAAAAGACGACATTTTTTAACTTAAAAATAAATTTCACATTATTTACTCATTTTAACTATTAAATATGCAGTTTAAAATTTTTTATCTCATAAAAAAATAAAGGTTTGTATGCGTGTGTAAACAATCATCACAAAATAGTTAATTGCTAATACATGGTGAAATATCGATTGCACTAATGATCGATCGGACTAACGTACATTCGTACTAACGTTCATTCGGACTTAATTGTTCAATCAAACTAAAATCCGCGATGGACTAGGTTTTTTGAGCTGCACGTGCAGGTGACGTGGAGAACTATTTTTTAAATTGTAGCGGAATTCGGCTCATTTAATTAATTAGGAGGAATTAATATATATAATATAATATATACAGAAAATGTTCAATAGTACTAAAGCTAAAATCGAAGTTAGTACATTAAGGAACATATTTAGTGCTAATATATAAATGAACCAAAACATTTTCAATCAAACTAAAATTACTAATTTCACCAGTTTGCCCATAAATTATGATTATTGCAAATATAAGTTATAATTATAATCTGCAGTGCAAATGGACAATACAATGTTCAATCGAACTAAAATCTAAAATTTCACCATTTTCACATTGAACCTATAATTTAAAGTCAATATGAACATATAGTTTAGTGAAAATAAACAAAATAAATGTACAATCGAACTAAAATCTAAAATTTCACTATTTTTTACATTAGGCCTGTACAAATGAACATATTTTAGTTCAAATGAACAAAAATATGTTCAATACAACTAAAATCTATTAAGTTTCACCATTTTTCACATTGAACAGATTTTTTGTTTGAAATGTTCATTTGCAATAATGTTCAATTGCACAAATAATTACAGAAAAAAAGTTCGTTTGAACAAATAGTATTTCAGATCAATTGCACTCATGATCATTTGTACTGAATATTCCTGGTGGGACAATAAAATATTACTAGGGGGAAAATAAAATTTTAGTCCAATTAAACACGGTAAAGCTCGATTTGTGTACTTTTGCACTAATGTTCAATAGAAATTCAAACCGGTTTCAGCTGACTTTAGTGCAGATGTACGTTTTCAATCGGACATTAGTGCAACCGATATAGCATCTAATACATATGACCAAAAATATTTTACATATGGACATATGAAACGATTTAAATGACCAAAAAAATAGTTCAAATGCAGTGGCGTACGAGGGGGGGGGGGGGCTGGAGGGGGCACTGATGAGAAAGACTAAGGATTTGTCTAAATTCACTGTTGATACAAGGAGAGAAAAGTTTTATTCTTCAAAAGATTACACAAGATGTACTATGACGGAGAGCAGACTTAACGATCTTGCACTTATAGCTTTACACCCTATAAGGCTGTCTGAGCTCTCTACTGAAAAAATCATTGATATGTTTGTGCAAGCAAATCCCAGGGATCCCAGGAAATTGTAGCTTAAAAGAGTTGGTGAATATGTAGATTGAGTAACTTCTATCTAAAAATTTCAGAAGTAATTTCGTTTATTAGTGAAAATATAATTTTTAATGATGCTTTGATTATTGATTTAATTAGCTGTGATGGAGTTAAGGGATGGGTTAAAAAGTTACTTTTTCAAGCAAAGGAATAATTTTTAGACTCTATAAGGTATACCACCCAAAAATGTAGTCTTTTTGGTGTATTTTTATGGTGAACAAAACAAGTCCAGGTGGGAGGGGGGGGACAATTTTTTTTTTAAAAAAGCATCAATATTTTTTCAAAAAAGGGGTTTTTAAGGGGGGGCACAATTTTGCCAAGGGGGGGGGGGGAGACCCAAAAAAAAAATTTTCGCGCAGATTGTGCCCCCCACCCTAAACAAAAGCCCTCGTACGCCCCTGTTCAAATGAAGCATTCGTTTCAAAAGAGAAAAAAGTAGTTCAAAATGACCTAAACTATAGATTTCAAATGCCATGCAGCCCATACCAGCTTTAAACCCGAAAACCTAAAAATACTAAAGCCTCTATACATATATTTTAGGTTAAGGTTTATTTACGTTAAAATAGTATAATCAACTTTTTGGTAAAGAACTTGCATAAATTTACATATTTTTACGCATTTTTTAGTTTTTCTTTTCTGAAAAATGTTTTTTTTTTAAGTTTAAAGGTTTGATGCAAACCTTAAAATACATATATTTTCGTAAATTTCATACCAAGTAATTTTGATAAGATTTTAGGTGGGTATTTTACGTATTTTTACGTATTTTTTAGTTTTTCTTTTCTGAAAAAAATGTTTTTGTTTTTTTTAGAGTTTAAAAGTTTGAGGCAAACCTAAAATACGTATATTTTATAATTTTTCCAAGTTTTAGGTTTTTATTTTCCTTATTTTTACGTCTTTTTTGTTTGTTTAAAAAATTGTTTTTTTTTTAGAGTTGAATTGTTTGATGCTAACCTAAAAATACATATATTTTCGTAAATTTCATATCAAAATTTAGGCAATTGCCTAAATTTCAACTATTTTCAAAACAATATTTACTTTGTATTATTTCAGCATTAGGTTAGGTTAGGACAATTTCTGGGCCAAGCGCTGCCGCTAGGAAAGACTAGGGGGCCGAGCACCGCGGCTAGGACAGGCTAGGGGACCGCGCACTGCGGCTGCATGATCAATAATATACATGTAATGCAGACAGGACAGACCTACAAGTTCAACAATTTTCAACAAAATTAGGGTTAGATTAGGTTAAGACATTTTCTGGACTGAGCGCCGCGGATAGGACAGGATAGGGGGCCGAGCGCTGTGGCTAGGATAGACTTTGAGGGCAAGCGCTGCGACTAAAACAGGCTAGGGAGCTGGGCGCTGCGGCCACATGACCAATAATATCCATGNGAGGGATCCAAAACATCTATACTATTTATTGGCTCATTTGATCTATGTTTTTGCTCAAATGAACTATTTTTTGGCTCAATTAAACTATATTTTTGCTCATTTGAACTATTTTTTGCTCAATTGAACAATTTTTTTCCTCATTTGAACTATTTTTTGCTCATTTGAACAATTGTTTTGCTCATTTGAACTATGTTTTTGCTCAAATGAACAATTTATTTGCTCATTTGAACTATTTTGTTTGCTCATTTAAACTATATATTTTTCGGCTCAATTGATCCATTTTTTTATAGTTCCAATTAGGGGTGGGCACGTTCCAACTTTTTTTAGCATTTTCGTTAATGGTTAGTTACAATCGTTAAAAAATAAAAATTTCAGTTAGCTGTTAATTTTAAAGGTGAGAACAGAACGTTCGTTCCGTGAATGGAATTTTCCGTTTTTTTATTACCATTTATAGTTAACGATCTCAATTTTATTAACGACGTTAATGGAAAGTTGTTAACAATAGTTAAAAGCTTTATAGCCGTTAATGGTACCGTTATTACAAAATTAACGGCGTTAACGGCGCATTTTCGTTAACGGTTTAAAGAAAAATCTTTAACTGCACTGCCCTCAATAGTATATAACAGTATTAACGGCGTTAACAATGAAAAAAAAATTAACAGTTTATAAACAGAGAAGACTACATTAAAAAACATCAAAAGGCGTTAAATTTGTAAAAATTTTCAAAAAAATCATGCAACTTTTTTCAGAAAATGAAGAAATTTACCTTTTTTAGCCTTTTAGTTACCGTTTTAACCATCAGTTTTTTTTCTAAAACGGCTAATCCGTTATGTTTTTTCTGTTTGTTAACGGACTCTTCCGTTAGTTTCGAAAACCTCCGTCTCGTTAACTGAACTTTGGCCAGTCCTAATTCAAATGAGCGAAAAAAATAGTTTAAATGCACACAGAATGTTATCGTTCGAACTATTGGTCTTTTGAATTCTGCTACATGTGACAGTGGTACCAATACGTTGAATATGGTTTTTTACATTTTTCAGTTTTGCTACATTTAGAAACTTATTTAACAACAAATTTTAAGCCCGCAACTGTTTCCCAATGCTTACAAAATAAAATAATGTGAGGAAAGTGTCAAAACTATTAAAAATTCCAAAATGCAGTAGCCCGAACATTATCTCACACCGTGCCTGCACTGGGCTGATTCTTACGTTAGACCGGTCGCATTTTCCTTAATCATAATTGCAATACTTAATCTATTTTTAAATTTGGCTTGACTGTCTGTTTGTTTGTTTGTATCCAATAAACGTCAAAACGGCTGAACCGATCGGGCCAAATTTTTTTGTGGGACATCTAGGGACCCCAGGGAAGCTTTATGAATTATTGAAATTTTAAAAATTTGTGTTTAAAAGTTTTTTATTTTTGTAAAATTTTGAAAATATTATGAAATCCGAAAACTTTTTTTGTTTTTGTTTTATACTGTACAAAGAGAAGATGCTCACAGATAAAGCCACAATTAAAAGTTTAAATAGAAGATGGGTGCGAAGCGCCCTGAAAGCCTAGAAATTTGGCTTGTCTGTCTGTTTGTTTGTTTGTTTGTTTGTTTGTATCCAATAACATTTTTTGTGGGACCTTACGTGACCCCAGGGAAGGTTTATGAATGATCAAAATTTTTAAAAATTTGTGTTTAAAAGTTTTTTATTTTTGAAAAACTAGAAATTCAAGGCGCTTCGCGCACTTCTTTCTAGGCTTTTAGGGCGCTTCGCGCCCATCTTCTAAATTAATTGTGAACATGTTCTCTTTGTGTACATCGTAAAACAAAACAAATATAATTCGCGGATTTTCACAAAAAATTTCGTGGATTTTCAAAATTTTCAAAAATTTAATGATAATCGAATTTCGATAGAGACAAATATTTGAAATTTTGATCATTCATAAACCTTCCCTGTGGTCACGTGATGTCCCACAAAAAATTTGGGCCCGATCGATTCAGCCGTTTTGACGTTTATTGGATACAAAGAAACAGACAGACAAACAGACAGACAAGCCAAATTTATATGAAAATTTTGAAAATGCGCAAAAAATTATTATGAAATCCGCAAACTATTTTGTTTTTGTTTTATACTGTACAAAGAGAAGATGTTCAGAGATAAAGCCACAATTAAAAGTTGAAATAGAAGATGGGCGCGAAGCGTCCTAAAAGCCTAGTATTAAACATTTTTATAGATTTGAAAAGCTCTTGGGCTCACTTTAAAAAATCTACAAAATAATTAATCAAAAATTTGCAAAAATCAAAGTTTTTTGTTGCGAATAACAAAATGTGTTAAGAGTTAAGATGTTTCAATACAGTCTTATAAAGCCCTCGACTATGATCAATGATCATGATTCTGTATTAAATATTTATAATTATTTACCAACTTATTTACAGTGAAGTTAAGAGAATTTTACTTCACCAAAGGTTCCTGAAAAGACATGAGATAAGAGGCACTTAACTTTTCCAAACTTTTGCTTTTCTATTTTATAAATATTCAGCCTAAATTCAACAATTACTGAACACTCTAGTTCCGCCCGTCTAATTCTGTTGCATAAAACACGCTGGGTCAACCACAAACTGGGTACACTAGACGGGCTGGTACGAGTAAACACTGTACACTTAACACCATGGCAATCCTTGTAATGGTTCGGAATCGGATCATGCAACTTTTGCTTATGTGTGATGGGAGGAGGCTTCTGTACGTATCTTTCCCACCCACTAAAAATTAAATATACTCATATTATTTAACTCTATCACGAGCCCCCTGTGGTTTTTTCTAAATATCTTAATAATGGCTGATATTTGAACGCTAAAACTTCTTCAATTTTTAAACTTCATATTTTGTAAAAAAAAATATTTTTTTGATACCTAGGGGCGGGTCGGTGTTTAACAAAATTCGGAAATGGTTGATAACTTTTTACTAATTAAGCTTCAGGGTTAAAAATTTTAATATTTGAAAATTTCTTGGATCATGGATATAATAACATGGATGTAATAACATATTTCACATGTTATTATTTGTCAAAAGTAAAAAAATAGATGTTTGAACATTTTTCCGACTTTTCTAAAATCCTTCCCTGCACCCTATAACCATTACAGATAGAGGTCCAATTTTTTTAATGAGCAGCCTTGAAAAGTTGGACTAGGGACATTACAAACTAATCAAATATGTTTTAATATGTTTCGATATTTGTTTTGTACATGTCAGAAAATCATTTTCAAATCTAGTTATTCTAACAAATGTATATATAAACTATTTGGCAACAAATGTATATATAAACTATTTGGCATAGGATAAAATCGCACCCTGATCTCTAAACTTTCTCCTCAAATCTATTTAATTGAAATGTTTTGTTATCATTATCATGAAGAAATAGTTGGAAAAAATAAAAAAAAATAATCAAAACAGCCAAGAGCTTTTTTTCACCTAATTAGGGTTAGGAAAACTATCGAAAAACAATGAAAGAGCTCATCAAGAATTGATGTATATATTACTTACTGAATTATGGCATATCCTGCGCGGAAGCAACTACTTTTAATTCAACTAAATTTATGGTTACCCACAAAAGTTAAGACTTTATTGATGATCTATTGTACTACTCCTTATATGTAATGGTTCGTGGTTAAATATCCAGTCTTATAGAATAATAGAATGAAGGTAAAAGTAAAAGAAAATAAATTGAGCGAATCGAAGAAACAAAGAAGTGATGATACCAAAGATAATAAGTTAAGAATTACATAATTAGATAATAGATGTTGCAAGAAAATAGTCATATTTTTATGTATGACTACAATTTTTAAAACTTTGAATTGCATTATATACAGAATGGAAACAGAAAAAAAAATATTAAAATGCTATGCATATAAATAGAAACTAGGAATTAGAAACATGTATAGAATGTAGATTAACAACGTCCAAATCTGTTTAAGCTCAATATACAGAAAAACTACTTGAGTATTTTTGAGCCAGACTCTGTGTTCTTTATTTTGATTTGATAAGAATGTGATGAATTAATGTTATAACGTTCATCAATTCATTAATGCGAATTAATACATTTTAAAACTTTTAAATATATTTTAAATACATCAAGTTAAGGGTGAAAAATGATTTATTATCATTGTTCCGACTAAAATTTAAATGCATTAGAATAAACATATAATTAATTGCAAACAATTATGAAATATCTGGATTGTGCATGATGTGTATGCATAAAATAACGCAAACAAACTATATTATAATGGTTCCTCGTTCACACAGAAGAAATCAGCATCTGTATCAACCCTAAACACAAAATTTGATGAAAAAAAAACAAAGAAGAGAGTAAAGATTCATTTCAAATCTTTCTTTAATTCTGTTAAAGTTTATTTTAACTTGCAGTCTTTAAATGTAATATAAATGTTTATTACAATTGAATTAAAGTTGAAGTTATAATGAAAATAATGTTAAACAAAAGACAAAAGAGGAAAAAAGTTTTACTTGTTATTGATAGCTGGACCAAGAACACCTTTATCATTCACTGGAAACTTGTTGTATGCCACAGCTATTGGTATCCTAGCGTCAAATACACTATGTTGTATCTTCGCTCCGTTCACTTCAACCTCCATATGTACCTTCTGTACATAGACGACCTAAACAATAGTAATATAAGAACTGTTTTGGTACCCGGCCAGGTCACGTTGATTTAACGGTTCTGACAATATTTCAGAAAACTGTGACTTTCGATCACAATTTGACCTCTTTTACATAATTTTATAGCATTTTATCATCAATATATTTTTGTTGGCATATATAAAACAAACAAATCTGTAAGTCTAAAGACTGTTGAGTTATAGACGAAAATACGTTTGATTTCAAATAAAAGAAACCGAATGCTTCTCGTTAGTTCGGGGTGAGGTAAGCCGGGTTGGACGATAGAATTTCTTTACTTCACCTCTTACTTCCTTTACTCAATTATAAAATTTAACATGGTTTTATTTTTAGTAAGAAACTGAGTCTTTATGAGGGTGAAACAGTTAAGAGTTTGTGGAAAAAACTCATTTCCTTTGTAACGCTTTATTGTAAAGTGTAAGTATACTGTATACCTCATTGATTATGTACACGGTTTTCATGAGATGTGCAGAGGGATTAGTTAGATCCACAACAAGATCTCCATTATTTACTGCCCAGTTAATTATATGCTTACTCATCCCATACAGTTCAACCCTAGAATACAAGAGTACAATTCTATTCTAAAAAACAGAAGTATACATTTCAACTCTAGAATACAGAGTACAGTTCAACCCTAGAATACAGAGTATAATTCTACCCAATAATACAGGATTAAAGTTCAACCCTAGAATACAGGAGTACAGTTCTACCCTATAATACAGGAGTGCGTGTTCTACTATAAAATACAGGAGTACAGTTTCATCATTTTATGTACAACAAAATAGTTCAACCCTTAAGCGCAGGAATACAAAAGTATTCAGTCCTATCAAAGGAACAAGCAATTCATTTAAATACAATTAAATATCCAAGTGAAAACTTTATAAACTCTTTACCTAATTGTTGACTTTCCTTTGCTCCACCTCTGTATAAAGGTTTCTGGAATTGTTTCTTTCAAAGTCTTAGAGCAAATCTTCAGGAGGTTGTCGGAGTTGGTGCCTGGAGGAGGACCAGTCGTCTTTGCAAGGTCGGAGAAATGTCCCAGAAGATAGTATTCCTTCTTCATGAACTGAGCATCCTGATAAAATTTTTTAGGAGACGATTTAAAATATAAAATTTATTCGATTTAGTGCATTATCCAAAAAAATGCTTCCAAAGATAATTTTAATATTCAAAGTATAGCTACGTTAATGAAAAGGCTTATTGGACTGGTTGTTTTCTTTTGTAGAGATATGATTAACATGAATTTAACTAAAAACAAAGGTACTTACTTTTCTGAAGCAAACCATCAAATCGTAGAGAGGGGCATCATGTATGTTCTTCACAACTGCAACTTTATTATTAAAGAGTTCTTTGCTAATAGTAGGAGCTATCTCTGCCCATATAGTGCGTACATTTCCAGATTTAATTTTATTCCAATTAATTGAGTCACTCATTTTAGCAGTCAGACTTGTTCTAATTTCCGGAATTTTTTGTTTCGGATTTGCGGATTTTTAGTTTTCTAACTGATGGATTTCAACAAAGAACTTTTAGATTCATTCCTTTTCATGCAACATAAAGTAATTTTAACACATGGGTAATACGGTTTATTAGTAAATAAATGTCATTTACAATCATAGAAAAAGTTGTAAATCTTTATAATTTTTAAAACTACTAAAAATTATAAAGAAAGATCTTATAAAAGATATTTTTAAAAAGGACTTCACACAGTTGATCTTTCATTGTACATTCTGCCCCCTCGGAAAGAAGTGTGGCAGCGACGAAGCTCTACGAAAAAAAAGTAATTCTTCTTATTTACACTTTATTATAAATGGTTACCCACAAAGAATGAGTCTGTTTCCTGATATTCATGATTCCGAATTGTTTCTTTCTTTGCCAAATCATTGAATAAGAAATTTGAAGACCACATTCAAGGCAGGATCCCACTTAATTTAGTCTCGGGATCGTCATCGTTAAATAGTTTCAAATCGTCTTTACAGTGTCACCCTTTACATATTTTAAATCTTTAAACTCGAACTTCGAACGTCGTGGAATCGCAGATTACTTTTTTCTCTCCTTGTTAATTGCTTTTTGCGTTTATAGTTTATTGCTTCCGATTCTGTTTTGGTCCTGCTTCTAAAAAAATGTTTAATTAAATATTTATTAGCGCAGCATGGTTTCCAGAAAATTATGATATGATAATTGTTCTTTCTTTTAACACAGAAAGTTTAAGTTTTTTGCTTTTTTTAGTATTCCAGGCACACTTTTAGAAAGAAATTAGTAACAAATATAAACCCATTAGCAATAATAGAAAAGAAAGAAGACGCCATTCTTTCCACCAGTTTTCTGGTCACGCTGTAACAAAAGGATAAACAACTGGTTTAAAGTTGTCGACTTATCTTAATATATAAAACCAAATCTTGGATTTATAAACCATCTTAATTTGTAGTTTAGTGGCATATTCTTCAAATTTTCAATTCAAAAAATATTTTCATCGAGTAATATGAATACAAATGTTAAATAAAACATATTGTAATAGGAATACCACTGTTGTACTCAAGTTTTCCCAATTTTAAATCTACATAGTAAACCTTTGTGCTTTTTGATCACATAAGCCTTCCACAGTTTTATGTCATCACATGTTTTACACCAAGCAGACCTAACTTTGTAAAATAAAGGAACTCAGTTTTTACTACAAACTCTGGTTTTCTAAATCCATATGCCTTGCAATCTGATGTCGTTTAAAAACCTTAAATATTTCAAACTATATAATACATTCTGTTAGATGTAATAGTCCTAGTATGAAATATCAAAGGTCTACATCTTCAGGTTGCAAAGATATAAGGATTAGAAATTTTGAGTTTGTGGCAAAACTCGGTTCCTTTAAAATGTTATTTACCTATATTTTTTCCTACGAATAACATTCAAAAGTCCGGGGAACAGTTTTTCAAGGTAATTAGTCCCATTGCTCTTCAGTAATAACAAATATTAGAATTTGAAATTTTAGCAATTAAAT